AAACAAAAAATAAAATTTATTTTATTTTTCTATGTACAGTACCGTACAGTACTAATTTTGAAACAGGAACAGTCAGAGGAGAATCAGGTTGAGACATATTTAAATGATTTGAAGGATTTGAAGGATTTGGTGGACTTGATGGACTGACTGAATCGGATAAACAATTTTTTGGAGGTTGAATAGATTGTTGAGAAGAAGCACTCGAAGATATATTATTGATACTATTATTAATATTATTAATACTATTATTATTGTTATTATTAATATTATAATTATTGTTATTGCTATTATTAATATGAGTTGAATCAGGAGAAGAATTTGAAGTACTAGACAAATTAACTTGCTTCTCAGAAGACTCAGTCACTCCTGTTTGCAGTTGTTGTTGTTCTTTTGTTTGCTTTCCTAAAACTTTGGCAACAGTTTCAGCAAGATAAGTTTCAGAGTCAAGATTATCAGGCGATTCTAGATTTCCATCCTGAGGAGGAACTACAGGCTCAACAGTCATGACATTATTATTGACAACTTCTTCATCATTACTAACATCAAATATCTTTTTAGGTACTACTCGAGATGTGATCGAATCCGCAGTACCCGGTAGTGGCGGCTCAGGCAGAAATAAAAATTTAGTTGATGGCGGTATTTCTCGGTCGGTTGGTGAAGCGATTTCGGGCTGATGTTCGGAAGCCGCAGCAGTTCCGAGAGTAGAAGTCGGAGAAATAGCCGTTATGGTTGGTTCTTCCTGTGAGGTCATGACGAAAAAAAGTGAGAGATTAAAAAGATTTATTTAAAAAAAAAGAAAAGGAATACTCTTTATATTCACATGATAATTGTGTTATATCTGATCAAGTAAATTTAGTGACACAACTTTTTTTTTTATAACTGATAGTATCACACGGGTATCACAGTCGGAACTATCTAAAATTCTGAAATTACTAAAATTATCAATCTATCGAACTACGCCAATTTAATAATCATTGGTTTTCGCGAGATATACGTATTATTAAATAAAATTGAATTATATATATATCGATATATATATATATACATACATACATATATGTACTTATAATATATATATATATATATCTGATATATGTATATAATATATACATATCCTTTTATATATACAGTCAACTCTTTCTATACTGAACCCTTGGTTCTGGCCAAAAAAAAGTTCGTTATACAGTATTACTATGTTTTCTTAAGAGCCGTAGCTCTTGTTATACCGAATTAATATTAAAATTTAAAAATTTTAAGTTCGTTATATCCAGAGTTCGTTATAAAAAGGTTCGTTATATACAGAGTTGACTGTATTATATATAAAAGGATACGTATGTCAAATACTGTACGTGTTGGTAAGTCATTCTTTTTTACATAAAACAGATAATAAAATTTATTTTATTTTTCTATGTACAGTACCGTACAGTACTAATTTTGATTACAATTGAACGAAGACTGAAAGAATAAAACTTCACACAAAATGATTGATGTACGATAACTTGTAATACCTTTGTTGGACATTATATATATTAGATTTTATATACTAAATTTAATTGATAACCATTAGTATTACCAAGCATTGTCGTTTTTACATATTAACAAATTTGGATATGCAACATGTGGAAAAAGCTAACCGAAATAATTATGTCTTTCTGCAGGAGAATCTTTTGTCCATGCTTTCGACTTCCTTGACTTGACAATTTCAACTCACCTAAAGGAAAAAAAAATTAGGTACCCCTTTAAATGCCGTAAATGCTGTAAACATGAAAAAAAAAATCGCGACTGTACGCGTATTATTATTATTATTATTATTTTTTTAAAAAGTTTTTTATACAGTAATTACAGTAATTAAAGTAAATACAGTAATACAGTAATAAAGTAATTAAAGTAATTAAAGTAATTCTTAAATTCTTAAGTAATTCTTAAGTATTAATGGCAAGACGTTATTTTTGTATTCTTACCAAATATTTTATTATTTTATTATTTTATTACTATTTACACAATACGGTCTACTAATTGATTTATATTAAATTTTGTACTACCCACCTAAATACCACTTCTAATTACAAAAAAATTTATTGTTCGTGTATTGAAAGGAAAGGAAATGGAAAAACAAAAACAAAAGGGAAAATACAACCGAACTTTGAATTACTAAAAGAAATTAGAAATGTGTATAAAACTTTTTTTTTTAAAAAAAAAAATTTTGAAATATTTGATTATTTTTGATTTGATTATGTGCGAGTATGCTAAAAATTTGAATTACCCCACAAAAAGGTATTACAAGTTATCGTACATCAATCATTTTGTGTGAAGTTTTATTCTTTCAGTCTTCGTTCAATTGTAA